GGGAATCTGATAATATAAATATCTGACTGAGAGAATAGCAAGGGAACAGTGGAAAGGAGTACAAGTCTCTATTTTTCCCTTTACCTGAAACTCTCCATTCACTCTCCCTCCATTTCAAAAGACTTTTTGAGTGATCGCAGATGGAATTATCAGAGAGGGATAGTCATTATGCATCAAACTCCCTTGTACATTTCTCACCTCCTGGTCCCTCCCTTGCACTGTGGCCCTCTTGTGGCCACCTCAATAGCTACAGAAGAAACACATGCAGACCTTTCTAGAAACGTTCAACCACATGTAGTGTTACATAATTATTCCGGGACAGGTTGTTTTTTCCACCTGTCACCATGGCTAAATGTGTTCTTCTCATCCTATGCACCTCAAAAACAAAGACAATAATGTTATGTCAGTAGGGTAGCTGCTTCCATCAGTCTTTGCTGTGTGCGCCACATGTAGCTGTACAGGCTTCAACGGCACTGTACATGTCCTGCTCCGTGCCGGAGGTCAGCAGCTCTCCAATTTGTGACATTAGGTCTGCGCTAGATACAACATGACTTTGGCTGACAGGCAGGTGGTAGCCACATCCGAACATGTCTGATGGTTGGGGGGATGAGTGGAGCAGAAAAGTGACTGTGGGGGGTTGTTCTTTGCTGTCATTTCCTGAGAGGGTGAGGTGAGAGGAAGGCTGGCACGGGTCACTGGATGGATTCACCACAGGCAACTTGCAGACATACACAGGCCTGGACAAATATGTTTTAAAATAGATTGTACCAACAAAAATTGCTACAAGGCATATCTGCCAACCTCCATAACAGTCAGAGAATAGGCTCACCAAAGGGGAGAGGAGATGAAAGAAGCAGCAGAAACCACACATTAATACATATTGTACTGCCGGGTTTAAATACTCGATCACCATCTTTAGCTTTGATTGCATTTTATGGAAAGAATTCTGCAGTTTTACGAACAGCAGTTTGAAATAAAGTACTTGGGAGAGAGAAAGAGAGGATAGGTGTTATGCTTCAGCTTGGATTATTTCAAAGCCAATCATCATCCTCACATCTCCCTGGTCTTCATTCGCAGGCTGACTGTGTAGGTGGGCAAGTATGACTTGTGTACCACCCTTTGTCCTAATTTCTTCTCCATGCCACCTCACAACAGGATGCTACACAGCGTTCTGCATCACTGGGTTGACCTCTCCCAATTCCTGCACTATCCTTCTCCTCAGCTCCCTATTATCCAAAGGTTCATATGAGTCTATTGTGGGAGACACATCAACACCGGCAACCACGATGCTGAAAGGCAACAAATTAAATAGAGGAAGTTGAAAGCCAAATACATTCTTTGACAAATGATCTTGAGCTGAAGCGACAACCAAGCCAGAAGCCCAGAGAAGCCGCCCGGAGCAGGAGCCGAGACGTCCAGCCCAAGGCATCTATTGATACTTCCTGTCTTACAACTGAAAGCCATGAAACACACCATGATTTGTTTTCTTTTACAAAGACTGGTGAGCACTTTGTTTTTCTTGTTTGGTTTGGACTGTTGGTTTACATTTATATCACACATTTTAAAAAAAGAGCAAAATAGAAAACATGATAAAAAAAATTATTTTTGTAGGTAGGAAATGTTATTAACGTCATCAAGGGAAACAAGGAAAAGGGTGAAATTATCAGAGAGTGAATTATATAAGGGACTCAGCCAGAATGATATAAACAGGCAGATCGACTGACTCGGTGGGGAGCCACAAACACTAGCTAAGCAGCAGCAGACTTATCTTGCCTGACAGTTTGAAACTAACACCCTTTTCTGAACGAGATGTACACTGTGCCCTTTCATTGAGAAGCAATGAGCTCTAATGTCTTACCTTTGTCTGAATATTGCAATGCAATGAGCAATTTTTATCAGAGTGACTTGTTATCATTGTGACATGTTGTGACATATTGTCTGGAGTCATGTGTAAAGTGGGAGCACGCCAGCTGACTGACTTTTCTGTTCTTCCATGGGGAGTGCAACTTCTTGAGGGGATTGAGGTGGGGACGGAGAGACAGAGGTGTAGCTAGAGATAGGGACTGACCCTTCATATTAAAGGGCCTTTTTACTATGGTAATCTCTGCTTGGGGAACAGGGTACAACACCAGGTATCAAGGGATTAAAGCTAGATCTGTTCAACGGGTTTTTTGTTTTATTTGGACTTAACGAATTGCATTTTGTTGTTGTTTTTGTTTTTTGTTTTCTGTGTGTGAGAAATATGTCTAAGTGAAAACCTAGAGGAACATTATCAATGCCATTACTTAAAAAGAGAAGCTGGCTCTGTGTCAGCTTCCACCATTGTGCTCTTTTTGTTGCTGAACGTAATCTTCAAGTTCATTTTGTGAGTGAAATGCTATTCCAGCATCCTTGCTTTTCTTCCTGTTGGTGTGTGTACTATAAGTATTCTAGTGTGTGTTGGGACCTGCTCTCTCCCCACTCCCCACCAATCAGAGACAGAGGCAGCCTGGATCTATAAAGTGGCCTAACACAACTATGGGGACAAAAACCTGCGTGTGTTTGGTACAGTGAGATTCATCAGTCGTTCTGGATTCAAGTCACAGAGTTGACCAATAACCGAGCCTTATCAAAGTACTGCAAAGATGTCCCTGGTAGGTCAGTCAAGTAGCACCACTTGTCCTTGATATGTTCATAAAGTGGTAAACACCAGAGAGTCATTTTCATCATTCACATGTGGGAAATAAATGGTATTCCTATTTTCTGGGCAGGTATTTCATGTTAGCTGTGTTTAGGCTACTAGCCTTAGCCTTATTCTGCCCTCAGTCTTTCTCAGAGCAGAGAGAGAGAGATGGAGAGGCTATGGTGTAATTTTGTCTTGCCAATAAATTTATTTTTGAATTTCATTATTAGAGGGACAAAGACTTTGTATGGCGAATTGTAGCAATACCTGACTCATTCTGGCTACTCTTGTTTATTGCAATAAGAAAATTAAACAATAAATGTGTATGTGAGTAAAACATTATAAATGTAATTTAAATGAAAAAGAAACTTTATGGTAAGTACTACTGGTATCAAGAGAAACCATGGTGGAAAAAAGTAAATGTCAATAAATCATTAAATGATACTGTCTGTGGAGTTTTTATGAATCAAACAGTGTGGTGCTTTCTAATGCCAGCCATCCAACTGCATGACCCTAGCTGGGAGTGTCCAGTCACAGAGCTGGAATTAAAATGAGTGAACTGCTTTAAATCATGGGTGGAGTTTCAGATATCACCCTATCAACAAACCTGAATCAAATGATTAGCTCATTACCAGGACTCTTACTCTGGAGAACTTTAAGACAAGTCGAGGAGGTAATTTAGCCATTGTTGGATCAAGGACATCTAAAACTTGCAGGACACCAGCCCTTGAGGCCTGGAGTTCCCCGTCCTCTAATCAGCCAATCACACTTAATATATTTAGGCATGTACACATGGTCAAGCCAACCTTCTGAAGTTCAAACCAGGCATCAGAATGTCGAAGAAAAGCAATTTAACAGACTTGAAACGTGGCATGGTTGTTGGTGCCAGCTGGGCTGGTCTAAGAAGCTGCTGAACTACTGGGATTTTTCCACACAACCACGTCTAGGGTTGAAATATAACTATCCAAATTAAAGAATACATCCTGTTTGCAGCAGTTCTCTGGGTGAAAATGTGCTGTTTTCAGAGGTCAAAGGAAAATACCCAATTGCTTCAGGCTGAAAGGAAAGCATCAGTAAACTGAACAGCCACTTGATACAACCAAAGTATGCAGAAGAGTACTTCTGCAGGTACAACAGCAGAGGGGCCGTAGCAGCAGAAGACCACACGAGGTACCACTCCAGTAAGTTATGAGGAAAACTGAGGCTACAATTTGTACCCATCACCTAAACTGGACGACAGAAAATAACATAGCAACATAGAAAATAACTGTTCCAACAGTCACAAGAACACAAAGAGAACAGGAAAGACAATAAATGGCTCTGTGACACAAATTCTGTTTGTCTTTCTTTTCTATCTAGTTTGTTAGGAAAGGTGATTATTATGAAACATATGAATCTATTAAAAAAGAGCTCATGTCTCACTGTTATGTCGAACCTGTCAGAAAAATCACAAAGTGACTTATTTTAAATAGGTCACAAGTAAAAATGGCTGCAAATCCCTGCATGAAGGTGTAATTTAGCTAGGCAAATAAAACAGTTTTTAAAAAATAGCCCACCAACTCTATGAGCTCAGTGGTCAAATGTATATTAAAAGATAGCTGAGGTCATGAAATGAACATTTTAGTCATAGGAAAACTAGACAGTGGGAGGACAGTTGGTGGCACTGGTGTTTGTTAAAGCTTTGGGACCTTAATAAAAAAAATCTAAGGGTTGAAGATGTGTTCCACAAGAGCATATAGAAGAACAATATCTTTTGTGACAGCAGATATGAGAAGGAGTAGCTGACTGGTCCTGCATTGCATCTTCAAATGAAAAGCAGCATTGTACTGCCTGGAGACTATTGCTGATTTCTTGTGATACACAGCCCTCAAGCTGTTCCCACGAGACTTCTTTTGAGCATTACCAAACAGATCGACTGCTTGGCAGTAGCTGTGTGATTCTTATATCAATACACAATTTGGCCACTAGATGGTCCTGCTGTGATTACCGAGAAGCAAGTCTCACAATGCAAGCACGTCAGACTTGTGTAACACTGCAGTTCTTCAGTTAAAATTATGAAGACTGATAATCACGTACATTCAGTATTGAATGTACACCACGTATAAATATCTATTGTTTGACTGCCTGTCGGCAACGTACAGATGCAATGCATTGCCATATGGCAGAGACAGGATAGGGAAATTGTACAGATGGCTCCTATGCTACTGTCTTTAGTTTCAAAGGAGAATTTTACAAGTTTGGGTCCTTCCATGTTGTTATTTTATGTGCTGAAGCCTCGTAAGAAGTACCAGTGTGGGAATAAAAAACAC